CTTTCTATACTAAGATTTTTAAACCTTTTCCATAATGCAAGTGCGGACTCATCACCTAAAAAAATAATACGATAGTCATGTTTATACATAATCCTTACAAACATTTAACCGATTATATGTGTAAACATACCAGTTTCCATTTTTTTGAAATAAGCACGAGCTTGATCATCTACATTGGAATCTTTATCGATGTCAGCCTACATTGATACGCCATAATTTTATTAGACATCGTTAAGTCCGAGTGTTTTACGACACCTATTAAAAACCTACATTAATTTTGACGTACACGTCATATAAATGTTTGATAGGATGTTTAAGTAATTCTTCTTCAGATCCATATTTCTCAAATCCAATAGCTAAAAGGCCTAAAATTTCAATCAATCTCAAAAAAATCAGTTTTTTCTTTTGATAAGAAGTGAAAAAACGCGAAAATAAAAACCAAATTTACCATACTGTTTACCCCAATCACCAAGATAATTCATGCCGATGGTTTTCCAACCGTTCGCTGCATGTACATTTCTAACAAAGTTTCCAATAATTGTACTACGTAAATGACCAGCGTGGAATGGCTTTGCCATGTTTGGACTGCTAAAATCAATAAGGCAAGTTTTACCAGCACCCGATTGATTTGTACCATATGTATCCTTCTTTTCATATATATGCTTAAGAAGTGTTTTTGTAAGTAAAGGATGATTATATTTGAAGTTTAAGTAATGACTAGCTTGTGAAACGTCTATTATATATTCATTAGGAACGAACTACATACAATTATTACAAGTTAATAGGAAAGGTTAAAACTGGCATATAATTAAAATAGACAACGTGGTGATTATTATTGTTACCTTTTCTACCCATTGTTGAGCCAATTGCACCGGATTACCCTGAACCCGTAGCCTAGGAACGGCAAGTGTTATGTAACCAACAAGTTCTGGGCTTCTAGGAACTTCAAGTATCCCAAAAACTTGCTCTGGTGTTTTTCCAAAAAAATCAGCTACCATCGAAGCTACAACGCCCCTAAACGGATCCAATTTGTTGTTTTCATAATCGGCGCCTTTTATTTCAGGGATAATTGCAGTAGAGTCCATCATGAAATTTCTAAAACCTTTAAGTGTCGGTATATATCGGTTAATCGATAATAATCTAGTAGAAGCCATCGGTGAGTAATATTTATAATATTTATTCGATTATCATAACCAATCTACGTAAAACATTTCTATTACGTAATTTTGCAGAATCCGCATTAATCGGCCAAAGCAGGGACCCGTGCATAATAATTTTGCATTTCTGCGCTATTTATATTAAAAATATATATTTATTCTTGTGAATTTGATATTAAAGTATAATATATTTAAATTTTGTAAAGAATCCTCTAATAGATTTTGCCGATTACTAATTATGTTTGGAAAAGCTTCGCCCTACATTGCACTAAGAAACAGTCAACCAGTTTTTGCAGTTTTGTATAATTATTGAATTTTTTTTTTTTTCATGCTGAGTTAACAATAAGAGTATAATGATAATCATTTGACTTATTGATTTGATTGGCCAATGATCACGTTTTAACCATGGGTTGAATGTGATTCTGCTTTTACAGACTGATTCCGTGATTCTGCGGCATTCCGTCCCTGGGCCAAAGTACACTTGACCCTCGCTAATATCAACCCATTTGGATCACTCGTTATGTTGATAGTGATATTAGTGAGGGATCATAGTAAAGTTGATATATGAGGGAATTTGTGATATATAAAACTTTGTCTTGTGGCTTAGGTTGATATTAACGTAGGTTGAGGGTCATGTATAAGTTGCGCCATTTAAAAATTTTTAATAGTTCAAGTACTAACTACAGGATACAAATTTTAATGAACAAAATACCATTTTTCAGAGATATCTAAAAGCTATTTCTACCTGATTCCTGTCTTTTTAATTTCAAAAAAGTACATCCTCTTCGTCTTTTTATAACTTTAGTCAAAGTAGTGATTTAAGCCACATGATTTTGGTAGGCTGGCTTAGTCAACGACCAAAATATCGGCTAAGCGGCTAGCTAATGGTTAACTGAATTGATAAATAATTTTTTTTATACACTTTACAATACTTCTTTTAAAAGTTCGGGCAGCTTAATTTTCTATGAAACGAGAATAAATTTAACGATATATTGATGTTTTTGCTTCACCCTATAACATATTTTTTGTGAATCGCACAACTTTTTTTAGCAATCTGACTGGCCGATTTGAGATACGATTGGTTGACAATCACGTGTAACGAAATCATCTACTGTTATAGCCTATTTTTGAAGGTGAGATTATGTCTTGATTTTTATTTTTTTTTTTGTAATTTGGTTATCTGGCTTTGTTTAGAATTTCATTTTTTATTAATCATTATTACAATTTATCCAAACAAAGAGCTTATCTAGCATATATTCAGATATAATTGTCTTAGTAGTCTTTGGCCTTTCTTCAAGTTTGAAACTTACTAGATACTTTTTTTCTATTGGTTATAGGCTGGCAATTATATATTTATTAGTTATTATATTGATATTACAAGAATTTAAAATTTTAAACTATAGATAAAAAAAAATATAAAAAAAAAAATATATTATATCTTGTACAAAGATATAAAAATTATATACTATATAATTATAGAATACTAGTATATTTTAATAAACTAAATCATTTATATAATTTTTTTAAATAGTAATTTTAGCATTATTTTTTTTATTTTATTTATTTATTTTTTTTTTCTTTAGCCTCTTTGGGACTAAGATTTTTATTCAAGTATTTACTGAGTGAGGGGCTCATCCTAATCCTGTACATTAGAGAGTACATTTTAGCCATGCCTGCGCCTTTTGAGCGCCTAATTAAGTATCTACCTATTGCTAGGTTTTACACTAGATGTCATACCTATAACCCACTATTACTTGAGCTATCCAATTAAACCCTCTGTAATGTAACTCTACCTGTATCACTGTTATATCTTACGAAGTTCTGGATTTTCAGCTATACCATTAGGACTAATTTATCCTCGAGGCATCATTGCTAGAGCTATCCATATCTACAATCCAGTTAACCTAGGCTTTCAGTAACTTACATCGAGTCTGAAGACAAGTACTTGCAAGCCGAGGCTGCTACTATTACCTACTACTGCACTTATAAAGTTCACCCAAACACCAGCATTCACTATACAGACTATCCATCATATACCTGTTATCTCAAACTTCTAATCAAGATGGTACAGAAGGGCTGTGACTTGTTTTTGGTATCTGCGGTTGGGTTCTTTTCTTCTGGTTACTCTCTGGTGGCCAGGTTGGTAGAGTGTCTTGCCAAACACTTCGGTCTCGTTCGATTTTCCGGTTTTCTGATTGATAATCTTTTACATAGTACTGTCAAAGATCTGTACTATCTCTCTACTCGGGTCTTGCCAAGCAGGCTTCCATACTCTGTAAATTTATTGGATTTATCTGGTAGCTTAACTTAGGTTTTGTGTAACTCATACATCACACTACATGTTCTACTACCTCTCAGTATAAGCTGATATAACCACTATTACAGCTTCTATAACCCAATAGGATATAGTCTTCCAAATGCATTTTCTTAAATTCGAATTTTTTGTCACCAATAGAATTCGAACTCTAGTTCTGCTGCTTGGTGATGCAACAACTTGCCAACTTTACTAAGTTACCACACCCTATAATTTTAGCATTATTATAAGTATTAATTATTAAAAGTTCTATAGTATATAAATTTTATAAATTTTTTTAAAACTATACTTTTATTATAGTCTATACCACCTAAAACCAACAACTTTTTATATATAGATAACAATTTTTTAGCTACAGTATAATATAATTGATCAATAAAAATGCAGAAAATTTTAATATAAATATAAATTTTATTAAGATGATCTTAATACTCATCGGAGGTGAAATTCACCAGTTATATGATTAACCAATCAAATTGCAGAATCTTTGTGTAGCAAAAATGAAGAATTTTTAGGAAAAAAAACAAAAACTGTTAATATCTTAAATTTTTATTATGAAAACTTACTTCATGTTATTAAGTAAAAGTTTTCAGTGCTTAATTTTATATATAATAAATACTCTAATCTAGGGTAGGGAACAGGCTAGGTTTAACTCGATATTTTGCGGATCGAGTCGAGTTTGAGCCCGGGTCAGACCTAAATTTTAGGCCCGTTATAAATTGGGTCGGGCTTGGGCCTCATGGGCTGAAATTCGTTTGATTGGCTAGTGTAAATCAATAGCCCGGGTAACTTATTTATATACTTTAAAGTACTTTTTGAGAATGTAAAATTACACAAGCAAAAAATTGGCATAAACATTATTTCTAGCTTCAAAAGAGTGCTAGAAAGTTAACTTTAAAA